TAGGTGGCAAGTAAATTTTGACTTTATGTACGATCGTTCGTTTGTGACGTCTGTTGGTTCTTTTTATGATTTGTTGGTCGATGGATTTAATGATGACTGGTTGGTTGGTTAGCTGGTGGGTTGGTTGATTGGTTGGTTGGTTAGTTGGTTGACTGGTTGGTTGGTTGACTGGTTGGTTGACTGGTTGGTTGGTTGATTGGTTAGTTGGTTAGTTGGTTGGTTGGTGGGTTGGTATGCTGACTAGCTGATTGACTGGTTGGTTGGATGGCTGGTTCTCTAAACAATGTACATTTATTTACCTATATTTACACATATACAACACCTCATACCTCCGTTCATAAATATTGTAACCCATTCATTCATTCATTCATTCATTCATTCATTCATTCATTCATTCATTCATTCATTCATTCATTCATTCATTCATTCATCCATCCATCCATACATCCATCCATTCATTCATTCATTCCGTCATTCATTCATAAATAAAACAATTAATTACATTAACTACCCCCGCCATTCCATTAATTACTCCCACCCACTAATTACCCCATCGCCCCAAACAGAGGGCTGCCCCAATGGTTGCCACCCTGGGGGCAAGTGTGTCCAAAAATCCAAATACGAGATAACGGAACAAGACGTTGACGACGACAATGACGACGGCTACCTGGTGTGGCTCTGCGAGTGTCGCATGCGCAGCGGCTTCGATGGCTGCGCAGACGAGGAAGCGGAAATGACGTGCAATGACGGTATTGATGATGATAACGGTAAGTGGGGGGTGATGATGGGGATGATGATGAAGGGGGTGTGATGATTAGTATAGTTAGATAGTTAAGAAGTGCCTGATGGTGATAGAGATGATGAGGACGACGATGATGATGATGATATTAATGATTGTTGATCATCATCATTGCCACCAGACGGCCTTATAGACTGTCTAGACAGCGACTGTCTGATAGACACAGTCTGCCAGCACAGCATCAAGTTCAGAACCGTAGACCCCGTTGACCTTTCAATCAAAAGATCATATTTTACAGGTGCTTCTGACGACGACGATGATGATGATCATGATGATGATCATGATAATGATGGTGATGATGATCATGATAGTGATGATGATGATAATTATGACGATGACGTTGATGATGATAAACTGAAATGTGTTTTCAAAAAAAAATATTAAATAGAATCATTAATGCTGTTAATTATAATGTTGCTTATAATAATTATAATAAATGCTTATTAATGAGGCAAATTATAATAATTGCCTATTAATGATGCTAATTATGATAATTGCATATTAATGATGCTAATTATAATAATTGCATATTAATGATGCCAATTATAAAGATTGCATATTATTAATGTCAGTAATTTTTCGCGAGGCCAAAATTATCGGCCCTAATCTAATTTAGAGTGCTTTGTATAGAACGCCCTACAAGCGATAGATCAATTATTATTAATGCTCATAATTCATCAAAATTCTAGTCGTTATCATCATCATCAACAACAACACCATCATCATCATCTTCATCATCATCTTTTTCATCATCATAATCACTAACATCGCCATCATCATTTCTATAACCATCATTATCATTTTTATAACCACCACCATCGTCGTCATCATCTTCGTCATCAGATTTGGTAAGTTTTTACGAGAGGTTTAGATTTTTATTTGACAACCAAGACTTCCACGTGCAGTCAGACCATGCGTTCTTTTCTGAAAAGTTCGTTCATTCATTCATTCATTCATTCATTCATTCATTCATTCATTCATTCATTCATTCATTCACTTAATCGTTTCAGTTTCAGAATATGTTACTATTTTAAATCCAAATATTTTGTTGACGGGCGATACCAGTAAGCACGTTGAAAATACAGAATTCATTCCATCCAATTATTCGAAATATTTGACACATTCCACTTGATCAATAACATCGACAAGCTAACCAGCACATGTCCTGGCTGGCATTCTCGATTTGATTGTCAGCTCTCATGGATTTCCTGTTACCAGCATGAAGATACTCCATAGTAGAACGGTGATCTATCCTCACAATCTCTCTCATCACAACAGTTGATGTATCGTTCCAGACATCTTGTAAAATAATCAAAAGATACGTCGGTCATTGGGAAGTTTGGATGAAGAGCAACTTGCCAAAGCCATCTTACATTCTCCAGTTACCCGCGGCATTTTAATCAACCAATTAGATTTTTCGTTCCTATCAGTCATCCACTTGTTGTTACTCGCAGTTTCATTCTAATTTACATAATCATAACCAGATCGATTTATACCAGCTAGTTTTTATTTTACTTCTACTTTATTCAACCAATCAAATTCATTTTAAATTTTCAAATCAACCAATCAAATTCAAGTTTCTTCCATCTGTCTGAAAATCAAACTTACGCCGTACTTCAACCAGCTAATGAAAATTGACATTTATTTCAAATTTTTTAACAACTAATCAGATTAGTTTCCTTGATAAGAGGCCAGGTGCTGACCAATCACGACACAGTTGTGTACGATTTGAGGATTTACGTCAAAAACCATCCGTCCAATGGCCACACACTCTCTGATAAGGATGGATTGTAAGTTCGATAACTGGATGGATGGGCTGCTGGATAAATGGATAGATTAATGAATGGATGGATTGACGAATGGATGGATAAATAGATGAATAAACAAACGAACAAGCAGCATCATTATCACCATAACCACATCATTATCATCATAATCACATCATCATCACATTACATCATCATCATCAGTTTCGACATCATCGTAAACGGCGGGGGCACGGTGACCTTGATATTGCAGGCGGCCAACTTCACCCCAAAAGAAATAAATGTCTACGTGCCCACCAATCGCAGAATCACCCTCGGGACAATCTACCTCCACCCGCAAAACGCCAAAACGGATTTCGGCTCCGTTCCTAATGACAAACCCAAATGCCCGGGTGTATTTCATGATTATGTTTATCTGAGGCCTGTAATTTATTCGCCTTCGGCCAATGCACACGAGGGGTATAAGGGCTTTCAGGGTAGTGCCCTTTTTCCAGAAACTTCGGTTGGTGTTT